AATTCCCTTTGATCAAGGTGTCTACTATTAGTGCCTAGGAGAATGGTTACAGAGTATTTTTTAAATGGATAAGATGCGGTTGTGTGAGCTTGAGAAGATATATCACCCTGATTCGATGATAACCTTGTTAAATTCATAGATATGCTTTAAAGTTAAAACACACCCTGAAGTAGATAATCTAATACGGAGTATAGTTATATAGGTATTAAGATCATGTTTATCACTCTTCAAAAGTGCACACTATATCTTTAACAAAATACCCTTAATGGTAATTTTACATTCAATCAGCCATTTCAGCCAACATATTACCAAACACTTTCACTTTAGCAGATTCAGCCTTTTCAGGCTTTTCAGTCCTTTCAGCCAATCCAGCTGGTTCCAAACGGCCCCTATATATGAACTCAAACATGAATTTTATCATATAAACACTATTTTTCTATCATTATTATGTTGGTATAATAAACTTGAACTTTTGGGTTATACGGAGTATATATTTATAAACGGGTTAATTCTTAAATTTAAGATTACACATAGGCTATGTTTGGCACAACGAGCTGGAGCTGGAGACTGTTGTCTGAATTGAAGGCTATTGTCTGGATTAGAGACTATTGTCTGAAATTGAATTATGAAGTGTTGAATCTGAAATGCCGACTGAACAGAATAAACATGTTTGGCAGAAATAGCTGAAAGAGTGACTGAAAAATATGAAATTACATTAAAGGACATATAGTATATTAAACAAAAAAACGTATTTATTTATTTATAGATACGTGAAATTATATACCAGAAAATGTCAAGGTTTATTGTGAATTTGTGAGGTATCAACGCAGACCGACATCAATATTATAAGTTACCACTTTAAATTGGATAAGGAGTAAGCCAACAACTCAGAACCATCTAGATCGATTATCCCAATACAATTTTTCTTTGAAATTCTAAGACAATTTAGGCTTTGTTTGTAGACAATTAATTTAAGTGTTTTTGGCTTTTTTTTTAAAGAAAAAAACACTTATTTTACCAAACAATGCCAACTTTTACTTTCTCGGTTTTCGTGTAGAATCTACTTTTTACTTTTTCTATTACACAAAAAACACTTATTTTACCAAACACTACCAACTTTTACTACTAATCATTTTTTCCCAAAAAGTGCTTTTATTTAAGCACAATTGCTTGCAAACAGAGCCTTAATATCCAAAGGAACATCGATCTCTATTTCCAAATACATGAAAATAGTGACCAGACTTCCAGCCAGGATCTGCTTCTCAATAATCGAACATAACCAGCGAGGTCCGAGGAGGACAATTGAGTTCATTAGCACGCAATAGAGTTTCGAGATCCAATCGACGGAAAGGAAAAGTGAAGGTTATCTTGGGAATAAAAAGTCTGGATTACCTCGACATAATACTAACGCTACTTCTCCAAGCGTTCAAGTTCAGCCCCTTAATTCTAGCTCAAGCTAAGCCTTGTTTAGCCTTTCACACAAACAGGATTATTTTAATTAAAATTGACTAAATTTGAAAAATTTCAGCCCTTTTTAAGCTGAATGGGTGTGCCAAACATAGCCATAGAATGGAGTTCATTTCCCATACTTAGGATGTAAAAGTCCGTAAGAGTGTACTTCCATAATAGTAGACGATTATGTTAATCGGGTTGTTACACGAATTATATGGAAACGTGGTTGATGAGGTAGCTCCTACTTGTACCAAAATGGTTGATCCGGATTTAAGTCTACAGAATTAGGAGTATGTAATACTATACTATCTCCATCCTGAAAAGAAATTCTCATTTTTCTTTTATGGATGTCCTAAAAGTGGAAACCACTTTAAATCCAAAAGTTATAACTGTGTCACTTTTTACTTGTTTTGGGTTTGATTTGAACAATATAAAGTATAAGACAATATTTTAAATTAGTTAACAAAATATCGAACCACATATCTATAAATTAAACAACACACAACCATCATAATTAAAATGTTAATCATCATTCATAAACTAATTAAAAAGATAGCGACATAAATTCATATATAAGAAATTAAACTAGGTACCATCCATATTTGTCTATGAAAACAATTTAAATCTTATTAAATCTCCAAGTATAAGTAAAATTAAGATAATTAAATGAATATGTCAAACTTCATTGAGTAAGAGACTGTGTTTACACAAAATATTAGAAAAAGAAAGTTTGATGCATTTGGAATAGAGAATTGAGAAAAATAATTTAGAAATTTAATTATACAGACTTCGAAAATATTTTTATAGATTGAGAAGTTTCTTTAATTGGAAGTAATTGTCTAGACACAAGAATATAAAGAGCTCTTGTGTGTTGTTTGTATATTATACTACATCCGTCCCGGTGGACCTTGCCAAATGCAAAGTAGGTCAGAAATAAGAATAATAGAAGCTGTGTGGTTGAAATTTGTGCAGAGGAGAGAGTCCAATGAGGAATTTGGCAAAGTCCAATGAGACGGAGGGAGTATTATACAAGTATTAAATATAATAGAAATTATTAAAATAATATTTTAAACGGTCCGATCCGGGTACCCATTTTTCAAATTTTAAGATCTGTTTGATTTCTGAGTTTTTCAAGACCCGCCCCACTCCGTCCTGAATCGTTTGAATTTTCTAAAATTAGGACCCGAACCTTACCCGCCCTGAACCTATTTTACCCGGCCCGACTCGCGGTTTCAGTACCCGTTTGCCCACACCCTTAGTATGATGGCGAGAAGTATAAGTCAAACACAAATATTTTGTCTCAACCAAAAAGTTCAATAAGTTTTTTTAGGCCTGGGACCGGTTCGGTTCCTAGGTAAAATATGTGGAACCGTTTGAAAATATGAAATTTTACTAACAGTTCGGTTCTTATAAAATATTTTATAGAACTGATAAGGAACCGAACCGTTCTTAACAGTTCGGTTCTTGTCATTTAACGATTCCTAGTCTTTGAAAAATTCTTACCAATCATGACTAAATTTTTGTCAAAAAGACATTCAACGTTTGAAATTACAATACAAATATGATGAACCAGTACGTTAAAGAGAATAATAATTTTAAATACTTTGGACCTTTTGAGTTCCGACCCGCAGGAGTTTGGACATAATGAGATGCCTAAGAAGCCTAAGAGAACGGGTTGAAGTGAATAATAATTTTAAATAGTTTTTCTTTTTGAAAATATAATTTTAAATAGTTAAATAACTAAACTAAAGTAATGAATGTAATATAAAAATAAAAATAAATATACATTAAAATACATATACCCATAATAAATATATATAATTTTAATTATTATATATAATGGTTCCTTAATGGTTCCTGGTACATAGTTTTTTCAGAAACCGAGAACCGAACCGTTAATAAAAAAATAGGAACCGAACTGTTAACAAATAACTAATAAATGTCGGAACAGAACCGAACCGGGTTATAACGGTTTGGTCCGGTTCGGTTCTCCGGTTCTTGGTTCCAAAGTCCCAGCCCTAAGTTTTTTTCTTCTAAAGTCGTAAAGCAGTTCGATTAGGTTTGTACATGATGTCCCAACAGAGTCGCAGGATGTATAAATTAATAGTTCGTCCATCCGATTAGAAGTTTTGATCTGATTTTTATAAGTTCTGATATGACCTGATTATTCTGATCTGATCTGAATTTTTCTGGGCTGATCTGAATCTTTCTAATGTGATCTGATCTGATCTGAACGTTTCTGGTCTGATTTGATCTGATCTGAATCCCTCTGATCTAATCTGATTTAAATATTTCTAAAATTATAATTATAATTATAATTATATAGTGATTATAATTATAATTTTAATTACAAATATAATTTAAATAAAATTATAATTATAATCATAATTATAATAAAAATTGAAAATAATTAAAATTAAACTAATTATACCTATTGCACCAATTATAACTATAGATACAATTATAAGTGTTATTATATTTTTAATTATAATTACTTATTTAATTTATAATTGTAATTATAATTATAATAAATATATCTATAATTATAATTATTATAATTACAATTATAATTATAATAATAATTACTTCATACAATAATAATAATTACAAAAATAAAAGTAGTAATAATAATATAATAATAATATTATAATAATTTTATAATAATAATATTACAACAACAATAATAAAAGTAATATTATTATTGTATTATTATTGTTGTTGTAATATTATAGTTAAATTATTATTATTATTAACATTATTATTATTATAGTAATAGTATTATTATTATAATATATTGTTTTAACAATATTATAAAAATAATATTATAAATAATATTACAATAATAATATTTATATTATGACATTATTATTAATTTTATTATATTTATTACTATTATTATTATTATTATTAATATTTTTATTAATAATAACATATTATTATTGTTATTATATTAACTATAACATAATAGTAATAATAATTATAATAAATTTAATAATAAAAGTGATAAATCATGTTTGAACTTTTCTGATATGATCTGATTTGAATGTTTTATGATCTGTCCGAATATTTTTGATCTGGTCTGATATGAATCTTTCTGATCTGATCTGGTCTGGTCTGATATGAATCTTTCTGATCTGAGCTGATCTGAATTTTTCTGATCTGATCTGATCTGAATAAAATAAGAATAAGCAATAAGTAATTAATACTCCCTCCGTCCCTAATAACTTTGCCAAGTTTGACCGGCACGAGGATTAATAAAGTAAAAACTGTGTGGTTGAGGTTTGTGCTGAGGAGAGAGAATTAACTGGAACCATAAATTCTTTACTTAAATGGGAAAGTGGCAAAGTTAATGGGACATCCAAAAAAGGAAAGTTGACAAAGTTATAAGGGACGGAGGTAGTAAGAATTAGACGAAGAGAACAACTTCTTAGTCTTTTCAAAAGAAAATGATCCAGGCGGAAACGAGAATCTTTATTCAATACAGAAATGCTTAGTGTACATATATTGTACACATGTATAAAAGCCCATTTTTTTCTTTTTTACATTTTTCACCCCAATCTCTTTCCTCTTTCCCTATTGTCTCTAGCTAGTCTCTACGCTCAAACTTCCCCTCTCTCCCTCTGGTCTTCTTCCTCCCAGGCTCTTACCTCTTGGCTTTCTTTTCTTCTTCGTGTTTTAATTAATTCATTAAATGGAATGGAATTGAAGGGTATATACCCATAGGAAGCAAACATTTCAATAGTGGGCCATGCATCTCCATCGTCAATTTCAAAGGTTGGTCTTCAAATCAAACCCTAGTTTTAAATATTTACATATGTTTTTGGAATTATGAATATACAACTTTTCTGTTCAGATTTGCAAATCTTCATCCTAGTTAATCGCTCTTGGTGCTTTAGTTTTAAGCAAAAATGATAATTCGATTCTTGCTCAAAATTATCCCAGTTTATAGCTCCCAATTCGATTACATTTTAGATTATCTAAATTAAGTTTTTCTTGGTCCAAAAATTTTGCAGAAATTGTAAGCGACCAAAAGTCCAAAATATGGAAACCTAAAGATATTTTGGGGGGTTAAGATGAAAAATTATGAAAATGGTATGTGTTGAAGGGGGGCTGTGGGGGGTGGGTGGGTGTAGGATGGAAGTAGTGGCCGTTAGGTTGCTTAAAAGAGTCAATTATTTAAGTTAAGTAAAAAAGAAGGTTCTCCAGTCTTGTATTTGAAGAAAAATAAAATTTTTGTTCATATCCAAGAATTTTCTCCCCTTTTATGTTAACTAGTTTTAGTTTCTTTTTTAATAGTTTCACAATTCTTATTAGCAGCATCCTACTATAGTCTCTGTCAAACTTAAAGTAGAGAAACCAAATTGACAAAGTGGTCTGTAAAACAAAGCAAAGAATACATTATTGGTGGTCTCAAACTCCCCTTTTCCCTTTTTCTTTTTCTTCTTAAGTCAATCCTTAATCTTTAGTGGAGGTCTTAAAAACATTGAAGATTGAAATGCACAAAGAGTTTTTGTGAGGCCTTTTTCATTGTTGAGATTTGTCATGTGACATTGTAACTTAAGTGAGGCCTAGTGTTTTTGTGTGTTCGTATTTTTTGTTCTACCAAAGATCTGCGTTTTCATTTGTTAGTCAAGAAAGCAAAATTTATAAGGTGAGAAATTGATTTCAATATTTACTGATTATTTTTACCTGAGAAAGTTTGGACATGTACATTTCAAAAAAGTGTAAATCTTATTTAAGTGTGTAAGGCTAAGGTTTTTTGTGTGAGTATTTTTTGTTCTACCAAGGATCTGCTTTTGTTTTTTTCTTTGTCAAGGAGTCATCAACTTATACCGGTATTTGTTAGTCAAGAAAGCAAAATTTAAAAGATGGGAAAATGATTCCTAGATTTGTCTACACGTCTGTTCTTCAATTTCTAATATTGGGATAGCACTTCAATGGGGATTGGATAAGGGGCAATGGAAAAACCTAGAATTTGCACTGATCTCATTTATTAGGGTTCCACATAAAGGACTATGTTGACTTAGAATCATATGAAGACCACTAGCATCAATCCTGTGAGATCAAATAATGTGAACACCACATATTAATTTCTTTCCAAAAAGGGAAATGTGACACTTATTTTGGGACAACTCAAAAGGGAAAGTAAGACAGGTAAAATGGGACGGAGGGAGTACCACATATCAAATTAATTATATGTGTGCAGCCGTTTACAGCCATATATAAACCAAAGAAGTAAGAAATCGCAGAAATGCGATGTCTAATTAACAGCGAAAAGGTGGCAACCTAACACTTGCAGAGATTAAAAATATACTAAGTAGAATGTAAAACACACGACCAAGTATGAATAATACATGCAGATCAGAATTTGGAATAAAAGAAATAAAATTCGTCTTAAGATTATTATCCGAAATTCATATATTTTGCATGCATTATTGAAATAAAAATAAAGTAAATGGAAAATACTTGCATGAAATCGAGCCCAATGAAGCATCGTCTCCTTAAGACAAATTTGCCCACAACACAAGTAACAATCGCCTCCCAGGATAGAACGGTTTCTACGTTCCCAAAGGACACCGGCGAACCAAATGCTGCACTAAAGTGGTGGAATTTGGATGAGGAAGATTAAGAAAAGCTTTGAGCATTTTGGTACTTCTTATCGAGTGAAAAAGGCAGACCATAATGGGATTTATAGTGCTCTGGCCAGGAGACACAATCCCAAAAGGTGCCTGTTAAGAAAAGGTAGCGACCCTTTTCGTAAAATTGCTTTTATCCGAAAACAAATTGTACAAAAATAATGTTTAAGTCTTGAGGCCCCCACCTGTACTCGAAACCCGATCGGACATGTCCAGCCAGATGGCGGCGGCGGCCTGAGACAAGTCCTACACGAACATTGCTTTGGAGAGAATTTCGGGATACAATTTTTCATTCATTTCAAAAATGATTTTCTACAAATAATATATAATTTGTAAAATCATTTTCCAACACGCCACTGGCTTGCCCTTACTCAACAAAAGAGGCACACAAGTATCTATGTAGCAAAACATACAAGATTGAGGAATTTAAATAAACACCCGGCCTTCCTGTATATGTAATCCTATAAAAATATTTAATCAAAGTGATTATTGTAGCATATTAACAAATACCTAGTGTATTATTACACTCAAAATGTATGAATCACATTCACTACACGGAATTTTCCAAAGTTTTCATAGTACATGATATATGGAAGTTTTATCCAAAGGCTGGAAAATGAGTTTTCTTATATACGGCAAAAGCTCACCTTAGGAAAAAGGTTTATTGTAGACTTGTGCTAGTTTAAATCACGAAAAGTTTGGAACTTGTGGAGACCTTTTAGGAGGCTCGCGGGATGATATCGGCAGAAAAGAATAACAATTGACCGTTGGCGGTTGGCTGATTATGTTGGCTGATTAATGACAGCAGATTCTGTTGGCTGTTTTGATTAGTTGATTTGATTAGCTGTCTGTAAATTAGTGTTTGGTTAAATAGTTGTTTACAAACAGTTGATAACTTCTTAAATGACTTTTAAGGACATGAATTATTTTTTATTAACATAATTAGTATAACTACCTAAACCATTTTAATGATAAAAAATTAAAATGTATTGACACGAACAATTAATAATTATTTTAATTAATAGATTTAATTAGTATCATAATACTTTGATTTTCAATTCTTAGAGAAACGTCAACATGATACTTTGATTAATAATTGGAGTTATAAGTAAAAAAATTAAACGTAGTACCAAAATATTGATACTAATACGCATATAGCCACTCTTTAATTAAGTTGTAAGACTCTATAACCAAACACGCAAAGGCGATAATGAATTCATTTTGCATGTGTTAAGTAACGAAAAATGTATGCATGAAGCAAGATCATTTCAATCAAAACAACTTGCTTATTTCATTTCCTTATTATATATTACAAAAAAAGTAGAAACTAGGAACTATTTTTATTGAACCTTTTTAGTGAATTTACAGTAAAAATAGGAACTATTTCCTACCTTGTAAAAGTAAAAACCATTCAAAGAAAAAGTAAAAAGTAAAAAAACTGGAGTCAATGATCAAGAACTAAAATTAGGATGTTTTTACTTGGACTGTAATTTGCTAGTCTGGTCTGATCTGATCTGGTATGGTCTGAACTGGTCTGGTAAGGTCTGGTTTCTTTGTATTTTTATAACTATCCAAGTCTGGTCTGAACTGATCTGGTCTGGACTGGTCTGGTCTGGGATAAATTAGTAAAAACATCCTTAGGCGTAGTACCAAATTCCGTAGTACCAATTAAAAAAAGGAGGCATAGGAACGGAATTTGTTTTCCTGAGCTGCAACTTCATTTTTCTTCAGGACAACTAGGAGCATGTGCATGAAAAAAAGGGGCAGCATCGGAATAGACCAAACAGCCGATTGTAAAAGCTGAGATTAATGGCGTTTCATATTTTGGTTGTTTGAGACCAACAACCAAATGTAAAAGCCATTTAACCAAACACTTTAATTAACTGATTATCTGGTCAAAACGCTAAATAATGGTCAAATCAGCCAAAAAATGGCTGATAGGCCAGTAACCAAACACCCCCAAAATCAACTGGGTTATATCTGAAATAGGCGTGCATAGAATTTGCCAAAGTTCCTTCAAAGCAAAGACGTACCAACTACTAACATGAAAATGAAACGGGAATGAGGATGAATGGCAATTGGCAAATCATCTATTTCCAGTGCAAATCTAACGGGTGCAAATGAAAATGGTTTGGGCATGATTTTATTTGGAGGTGTTGTAGTGGTAGTAAGGAGAATGATGTTTCATGTGATTGCCTTCTTTCCTTTTTTTTTTCAATTATAACATTACTTTATATATGCATGTAGTACAATCCCGTTGATATAAAGAGGAAGAAACTAGTATTGCTTCATAGGAGTACATGTTAAAACAGAAAATTGTAGCTTTGGTTTAGAGACACAAAACAAAAGTAACAAAAAACTAACTAACTAAGGCTTAGAAACTAAGTAAGAAATTTGATGAGAATCATAAGAACACGCGCATAAATGAAAGTACTCCTATTTCAATGCGTGAAAGAAACTTTGTCGTTAATTGTTGCAATAACGAACCAAACTCATCCTAAAGAGTAAAGACCACATTTACTAGAATTCCAATTAGAATATAATATTTTATTTTATTGAAATCACATACAATGGATGACCTCTCAAGCAGTCAACACGAGTCTAAGATGACATATATAGTCTAATCCAATCACATACAAAGAATGAGTGAGCACAAGAAAAAAGGAGCAGTGGGAGGGGAACAATATAATCCAATGTAAGGACAAAAGGTACAAAACTGCAAAATGTATGACAAATGTTGACAACCCGGCCTCATGGTCAAGATTACACTCCCGAAAACAATACTACCTCGGTCCCATTTGTATTGGGACGGAAGAGGATGACACGGTTATTAAGAAAAGTTAGTTTGTGTGGTTGATATTAATTGATAAAGTAAGAATAAAGTAAGAATGATTTAGAGCCACACAAACTTTGTCAAATATGGTATGAGACAATTTAAGTGAGACTTCCCGAAAAGTAAAACGAGAGTCAAATATAGTAATAACAATTAATATTCTATTCGGAAGGAGAGAGCAACATGGTGTTGGGCCAGATAGAGTGGAGGAGAGTGAAGGTCGTAAGAAGCACGTTTGGAGGCACGGAATGAAGGAGCTCGTCGACTTTCTCAAACACACCTTGTCCTTGTGAAATGTGATACCG